CCTCCCCCCCTCTCTCTCTCTGAGTCGTCCCCTCTCCTCCCCTCTCTCTCTGAGTCGTCCCCCCCCCCCTCTCTCTGAGTCATCTCCTCCCACCCCCCCTCTCCCTCTGCGTCGTTCCCTCCCTCCCTCCCACGCCCCCTCTCTCTCTGAGTCGCCCCTCCCACCCCTCTCTCTCTCTCTCTGAGTCGTCCCCTCCTCCCCCCCTCTCTCTCTCTGAGTCGTCCCCTCTCCTCCCCTCTCTCTCTGAGTCGCCCCTCCCACCCCCCCTCTCTCTCTGAGTCACCCCTCCCACCCCCCCCTCTCTCTCTCTGAGTCGTCCCCCCCCCCTCTCTCTCTGAGTCGTCTCCTCCCCCCCTCTCTCTCTGAGTCGTCCTCTCCCACCCCCCCTGCTGGCGCGAGCGAGGGCAGGAGGGAGGGGTCGTCACGTCCAATGAACTCGCAGGCTGCCTGCCACCACATCCCATTTCCACAATTGGATGGAAGCATTCCCCGCGCAGTCTCGAACGCGGGTGGCCGGGTACGTAGCGCGGCACGCTAACCGCTACACTGCCGGCTCCCCACTAACAAAAACCCACAAGACGAAGCCACACAAAAGATCCCCCATATAGCCTTAACAGACTGTAGGGGCAAGTGCTGTTAGCGAGCACCTATGAAGGCCGGAACGGTACGCGAGGGGGTGGGTGGCCAGCACCACGCCCGACCGCCTGTGTCTCCCTAGTGGCAATGTTTACACACCGCACCAGGTACTTATTTGAGGCTGAGTCGACCTAGGGGAGGCCCGGGACCGGTTCAGATAATCGTCACTGGTGTTGGCCGTGAGCGGGAATCGAACCCGTGTCGCCGGGTTCATAGAGCAGCGCGCTAACCGCTACACAAATCGGCCGGCTTTATGACATTTTCTAATTGGGGTTATCATAATCGGCATCATCATCATCAGGCGTGTCGTGTGACGAATGAGTAAGTTATGTAAATAGGGCCCAGCTGAAGCAGGAAGGAGGAGGAGGAGGTTCTTGCGTACGAGAAGTGCTGCCCGCAATAGAGCAAAGGGGTTCCTGGAAATCCACCCAGGCCGGGAATTCCTGAATCTAGCGAGACTCCAGGTGCCCAGTGCGTCCATGCGCTCTGGACTTACTGCGCGAGTGCGCGTGTGTGTATGTGTGAGTGTGTGTGTATGTGTGACTGTGTGTGTGGGGGGGGAGCGGTAGTGTAGCGGTTAGTGCGCTGCGCTATAAACCTGGCGACTCGGGTACGATTCCTGCTCACGGCCAACACCAGTGACGATTATTTGAACCGGTCCTGGGCCTCTCCTAGGTCTACTCAGCCTGAAATGAGTACCTGGCGCGGTGTGTAAACATCGCCACTGGGGAGACAAAGGCGGTCGGGCGTGGTGCTGGCCACCCACCCCCTCGTGTGCCGTGCCGGCCTTCATAGGTGCTCGCTAACAGCACTTGCCCCTACAGTATGTTAAGGCTATACGAGGGATCTTTGTCTTTGCGTACCCATCATTGTGTACTACGGATGCCCACAAACATCTCGATGGGTTCACTATATGGATCCATAGTTTGGGTTGCTTGGCCACAACCGCACTGCTTTGACTTGTCCTTCAGAGATGATGATGATGGGGGTGGCGGGGGGGGGAGCTTCCACGGACTTCTACAGTTCAGTAGTCGCGGCGTCTGTGTTAAAGGGAAGTGGTGATGGTGGCTGGAGATTGGGACCGTTCGCGTAACACACATCCTCCATACATCCGTCCAACGACTTTGTTTACGTTGTTCACAACCGCAATTGCACTCTCTCTCTCACAGCACCTCGTGTTCATCTAACTGCTGGATGGAGTGTCTCACGCTCCACGCATTTCCACGGGGTCATCGTATGGAACCGGCGAGCCGGGGTTCGAGTTGCAGGCCGCGCCGACTAAAGTTTAAACTAAAAAGCACAAGAAGAATACTTTCGTCCAAAGTTATTTTTTTTTCCGTCGCTCAACACAAACATCAACGAAACGGGCAGACGCCGATGGCTTATTTTTTTTTGGTCTTTTATTACTACAAAGACAAACAAAAAAAATTGAACACATCCAGCCCAGCGCGCTAAATACAGGCGACACGTTCCTCCAATCCCTCCGAAAAAAATCGGGAACCACCGCACACGTCCCAGTGGAAGTGAAAACACCGGGTGGAAGCAATGGTGGAAGCCAACGTTTTAAACTTTCTCAGTGGCGCGTGTCCGTGTGCGTTTATATACACCTAGGGGAGCGTTCAACATTCCGCGCTACGAACCCGGCGATCCGAGTTCGATTCTCGCTCACGGCCAACACCGGTGACGATTAACTCAACTGGTCCCGGGCCTCCCCTACGTCGCCCCGGCCTCAAATGTGTACCCGGTGCAGTGTGTAAACATCGGGGAGACAAAGGCGGTCGGGCGTGGTTGCTGGCCACCCACCCCCCTCGTGTGCCGTTCCAGCCCTCATAGGTGCTCGCTAGCATCACTTGCCCCAACAATATGAGGCTATACGGGGGATCTTTGTCTTTGTTATATAGCACACGCCGCGATGCGGCCGCGGTGCTGAATTGTAGCCGCAACGGTTCCCGAACGCCGATCCGTGAATGCGAGTGGCACGCCGCGTATTTACAAAACAATAAACGAACGTGTCCGTACGGTCATACAGGAATGCACGGTACAATGGTACAGGGATTATTATGGGCAGGCGTACTTTGTACTCTCGTGGTAGTAGTGCCTTGTGCCGATGAGCCCTACCTCCAAGCGAGCCTGAACAGCGTTGAGGGAAAACAGACAAACCCGAGCGAGAAATGAAGCCCTCGTTTTAGACCGAACTGCGCTCCGTTATAAACGTACGACGAGTTTGCGCAGAACATTGTTTCTCTTGTGCATCGCACAGGGCCCCCCCCCCTCAGCCACCCCCCCAGCCCCCCCCCCCAGCCCCCCCCCCCCCCCCACAACCACACTGCAGGTCACCTCACCTCTCGTTCTGCTTCGTCCCTCGCATCGCTCCACTCGGGAAGTTCCTCCTCCCATCATCGTCTCTTACTCCAGATAGCTACAACCTTGCCCGGTTCAAGATACGTGTTGGTTCTCATCTGCTCTACGCTACGAAAAGTGCTCTGAGTTACTGCTCTTAGTTACTGGCCACTTTGCTTTATTAAGCAGGGCTTCATTAATATCAGTCGGGTCTCCTCGGGTCCGCACCCGGCACACCACATCCAGTTTAATACCCCTCTCACCTCTTTGCCTGTGGCTCCTGCCGGTCACGCGCCAACCTACTCCCAAAGTCTACAAAGCGACCCGGAAAATATCGAGCGAGAAACGTAAAAGCCCTGGTCAGAGTCATTCTGGGCCTGCGATTAGCAACTGCGATGTGAAAACATTACAACAAAAGAGAACAATCTTCTTGATTCTTTCGGTAAAGTCACGTAGAATGGAAATAATAAAATAATACAAATAAAACATAATGAAATTATCACGTAGAATGGAAATAATAAAATTACAAAAATAAAACATAATAAAATTATGGTTTATTTTCATTACTTTATTATTTCCATTCTACGTGACTTTACCGAAAGAACCAAGAAGATGAATCCCTGCAGTCACGAAGCTTTAAATCTAAAAGAGAACAATTTTAAGATCCGACGATTGTTCCGACGACGACGAAAGCGACAGGATTATTCCGGCAGGGCGCACTCTAGCGGCAGTGCCTTCGCGCCGATGAGGCCCACGCTGCCAAGGCAGGTAGCGACGGTGCCAATGCGGCGGACGGGCGCTATCCGAGTCCGACGCGCGATCTTCGGCTGACGGGACGCGTCGCGTGGCAGTGTGGCCTGGACACTCTTGCAGACGAGTTGTTTCCCCATCCCAAGGGATCTCGTGCAGGTGAAAGATGGTAATTCGTGCACGTCAACACAGATAACAACAACAACAACAATCTTCGCATTTCAGGGGTGGGGGAGGGGTGGCTTAAAGTCACGGGCGCATCATCGGCATCTCGAAGCACCGTGCACCGCACCCCCCACCTCGACCGCCGGGAAGTGGCAGCTGCCCCTGTGTGGCGCATGGAGACACGGGCACCTGGATCTGGCAATGGGCCAGCGATTGCAATGCGAGGAGTCGTTCTGTGGGTACATTCTTGTGAGATTTATTGTCAATTTGAACCGAGATTGGCGTTGGCTTTAGAGGTTTTTTTGTAATGTTTCAGTTACTGGAAGAAACCCGGGGGAAAGCCACACAGAACATGGAGAGAACATCTAAACTCCACGCAAGAAAGGCTACTTCTCCCCTCTCATCTCACTCTACTCCCTCCCCTCCACGCACTCTCCTACCTCTCCCCTCTCATCTCACTCTACTCCCCTCCACACACTCTCCTACCTCTCCCCTCTCATCTCACTCTACTCCCCTCCACGCACTCACCTACCTCTCCCCTCTCATCTCACTCTACTCCCCTCCACGCACTCTCCTACCTCTCCCCTCTCATCTCACTCTACTCCCCTCCACGCACTCTCCTACCTCTCCCCTCTCATCTCACTCTACTCCCCTCCACGCACTCACCTACCTCTCCCCTCTCATCTCACTCTACTCCCCTCCACGCACTCTCCTACCTCTCCCCTCTCATCTCACTCTACTCCCCTCCACGCACTCTCCTACCTCTCCCCTCTCATCTCACTCTACTCCCCTCCACGCACTCTCCTACCTCTCCCCTCTCATCTCACTCTACTCCCCTCCATGCACTCTCCAACCTCTCCCCTCTCATCTCACGCTACTCCCCACGCGCCCGCGACCCTTTGCAGCTCGAAGCAATTCCGCCGCACGCAACTCCGTTTTTGTCACGACTCGCTGGCAACCCGTTGCGGAGATTCCCCCGCGCGGGCGCGATCCGAGTTGCGCAACCGACAACTCGGGTGCGGTCCACCTCCCCCCCAGGCCGTAGCGATTGCGGGGAGTGTGGACCGGGGGGGGGGAGGGGTGGTGGGGGGTGGGGTAGTTGGGGGGGGGGGGGGGGGTCACTCCTCCCTACTTGGAGCCGAAGGGCTGTGCGACGATGACGGGCAGGGGCCCCGGCGGAGGGATCTCGTACTTCTCGCGGCGACACAGGCGGAGCATCAGGTCGTCCAGCTTGCCGGGCCACGGGTACACGATGGTGTTGTTCAGCCAGCTCGGCACATGCCCCTAGGAGGAGGCAGAAGAAGAAGATGAAGGTGAGTGAGGGTCCGGGCGGAATGTTGGCAACGTTAGCGCGCCACGAAACCGAGATGTTAACGACCTCGCCTGGTATACAGGAGGTCGTGGGTTCGATCCCGACCCTGACGCCTGCTGCTGTATATTTGGAGTTTAGGTGTCTCTCTCTGTCATCATCATCACGGTGGCTAGGAAATGTTAACTACCTCGCCTGGTATACAGGAGGTCGTGGGTTCGATCCCGACCCTGACGCCTTCTGTATATTTGGAGTTTGCGTGTCTTTCTCTCTCATCATCATCACGGTGGCTATGAGATGTTAACTACCTCGCCTGGTATACAGGGTGTCGTGGGTTCGATCCCGACCCTGACGCCTGCTGCTGTATATTTGGAGTTTGCGTGTCTCTCTCTGTCATCATCATCACGGTGGCTAGGAGATGTTAACTACCTCGCCTGATATACATGCGGTCCTGGGTTCGATCCTGACCCTGACGCCTGCTGTATATTTGGCGTTTGCATCTCTGTCCCTGTGGTCGCGTGGATTTTTTTCCTCCGGATCCTCTGGTTTTTCCCTCCACGTTTAGAATCAACGTGCGTTTAAGAGTATTTAGCTGCTATAAATTTACACGTGATAAGCAATTTGTGGCCAGGTCACTGCTGAAAAAGAGCTGTATAGCTCATTGAGCCTAATAAAAATAATAATAATAATACTGACACATCCCAGCAGGTCACACGCGGGCCTTGCCCACCAAGCTGCAAAGCGGCCGAGGCCTTCGTGTACGTGTGTTGAACTTCTTTCGCACCGTACGTAGCCAACCGTGCTCATCGTAGGTGTTGCTGCGTGGCAGCAGAGCCTTGCGCGGGTGGAGGCGGAGGGGGGGCAGGGGCTGACGTAACAACACCGCACTGACGATGCACGTCGTTGGAGACCACGTCCCGCTAAGCGGGGGGCGTCACGCCGCTGCCACCGCGTTCGGCAAACGATGAGGCTGACCCCCCCCCCCCGGACCCCCCCGGCCCCCCCCCCCCGCCCCACCCCGCCAGCCGGACGCGAGCTCCGAGCGGGCGCGCGGGGCGACGTGTTACCCACCTTGGTCGCCCCGGGAAACAGCACGGGCACCAAGCGGAAGTTCTTGCTCCCGTTCTGAATGTACTCGTTCTTCATCTGCACGCGGCGCACGCACAGACGCCACGGACGCTCGGTCACCCCGGCCGGTCGCAAATCCGACCGTCACATATCCGGTTCACCCCCCCCCCCCCTCCAGCCCTTACTCCCAGCGGCAGCTGTCCCTGTGTGGCATACGGTAACTCAGCACCTGACCTGCCAGTACGGGGGGGGGGGGGGGGGGGGATGCGGAAGCCCAATCGCGCAACGTACCCACAGTGCACCCCACCGCACGCGGCCTGCTGATCGACTAACTCCGGTGCAGTAGCCAATCACACCGCTGGGTGGACAGAAGCTGGGGGGGAGGGGTTGGTGGGGGAGGGTGGGTGGAGGAGATGGGGGGAGAGTGGGTGGAGGAGATGGGGGGGGTGGAGGAGATGGGGGGGGTGGAGGAGATGGGGGGAGGGGTGGGTGGAGATGGGGGGGTGGGTGGAGGAGATGGGGGGAGGGGTGGGTGGAGGAGATGGGGGGGGTGGTGGAGATGGGGGGGTGGGTGGAGGAGATGGGGGGGGTGGGTGGAGGAGATGGGGGGGGTGGGTGGAGGAGATGGGGGGGGTGGGTGGAGGAGATGGTGGGGGAGGGTGGGTGGAGGAGATGGGGGGAGGGGTGGGTGGAGGAGATGGGGGGGTGGAAGAGATGGGGGGTGCATGGAGGAGATGGGGGTGGAGTGGAGGAGATGGGGGGAGGGGGTGGAGGAGATGGGGGGAGGGGGTGGGTGGAGGAGATGGGGGGGTGGGTGGAGGAGATGGGGGGAGGGGGTGGGTGGAGGAGATGGGGGGGGTGGGTGGAGGAGATGGGGGGAGGGGGTGGGTGGAGGAGATGGGGGGGGGGGATTAAGAACCTAGCCCCCATTGCTTCAACTGCCACACCGGGAGATGGAATCGACCCCCCTGCGACCTCTGGGTCGCAAGTCCAGGTGATCTTTGTCTTTGTATAGGAGACACACACTGGGTGTGTGTGTAGAGAGAGACACTGGGTGTGCGACTCACCTGCTGGTGAATGTAGTGTGTGTGCAATCCATGCTCGTCACTGCCAGCCGGAGTCTCTGTGTCTCGCTTGTATTTGGGGCTGATTATCACCACGATCAGGTAGTCCTTCTGCACGCAGACAAGACGCACACACAGAGGAGCAGACGAACAGTCAAGGCTGACCGAGGAATGCAGCGATGTGTAGACACACGCAAAGAGAGACTGACACACGTCAAAACACATACATAGAGTCAAGCCCACCAGACAAACAGGGAGACTGAGAGTCAGATTGAGACAGGCGTGCATGTGTAGATATGTAGAGACTTTCATACACCTCAACAGCCTAGTCAGACATGCATAAACCACTTATGTATAAATACAATAGACAACATTTATACATTTCTGTCGATTTCGGACACGCAGGCAGTGAGTCACAGGCAAAGGAGGTGAGGAAAGTGCTGAGCCTGGACTCGAACCTGGGGCAGCGGGTCGACAGCACGGGCGGCTGGGGCAGAGGAAGGGAGGGGCAGTGGAGAATTGACGAGGAAATTTTGTAGAAAGCCTCGATTAACGGAGCAGAGAGTTCGTGGAGGGGAGTAGAGTGAGATGAGAGGGGAGAGGCAGGAGAGTGCATGGAGTGGAGGGGAGTAGAGTGAGATGAGAGGGGAGAGGCAGGAGAGTGCATGGAGTGGAGGGGAGTAGAGTGAGATGAGAGGGGAGAAGTAGGGGAGTTCGTGGAGGGGAGTAGAGTGATGAGAGGGGAGAGGTAGGAGAGTGCGTGGAGGGGAGTGGAGTGAGATGAGAGGGGAGAGGTAGGAGAGTGCGTGGAGGGGAGTAGAGTGAGATGAGAGGGGAGAGGCAGGAGAGTGCGTGGAGGGGAGTAGAGTGATGAGAGGGGAGAGGTAGGGGAGTGCGTGGAGGGGAGTAGAGTGAGATGAGAGGGGAGAGGCAGGGGATTGCGTAGAGGGGAGTAGAGTGATGATAGAGGAGAGGTAGGGGAGTGCGTGGAGGGGAGTGGAGTGAAATGAGAGGGGAGAGGTAGGAGAGTGCGTGGAGGGGAGTAGAGTGAAATGAGAGGGGAGAGGTAGGAGAGTGCGTGGAGGGGAGTAGAGTGAAATGAGAGGGGAGAGGTAGGAGAGTGCGTGGAGGGGAGTGGAGTGAGATGAAAGAGGAGAGGTAGGAGAGTGCGTGGAGGGGAGTAGAGTGAAATGAGAGGGGAGAGGTAGGAGAGTGCGTGGAGGGGAGTAGAGTGAAATGAGAGGGGAGAGGTAGGAGAGTGTGTGGAGGGGAGTAGAGTGAGATGAGAGGGAGAGGTAGGAGAGTGCGTGGAGGGGAGTAAAGTGAAATGAGAGGGGAAAGGTAGGAGAGTGCGTGGAGGGGAGTAGATTTAGATGAGAGGGGAGAGGTAGGGGAGTGCGTGGAGGGGAGTAGAGTGAGATGAGAGGGGAGAGGTAAGAAAGTGCGTGGAGGGGAGTAGAGTGAGATGAGAGGGGAGAGGTAGGAGAGTGCGTGGAGGGGAGTAGAGTGAGATGAGAGGTGAGTGGTCGAGCAATGGTTTCTGAAGTTCATCTGGCGTACACAGGATCTGAGTGGTGCCAAGTCAGTTCCCCGACCTCTTGAACCTACGAATCGCCCTCTCACAATCATCGCTCTCGTCCTTCAGACACCCCGAGCCCCGCCACCACCACCCCCTCCCCACCCCTTGCGCAATGGTATTCTCACACGCGCTCGACGTACGCACTTGGCTACCACCGGGCATGTGCGTACGTGCTGGGGTGATTGCGCAACGTGTCATCGGAATACCTGCGCACCCAGAGCGCGCGTGTGTAGTGTGTGTGTAGTGTGTGTGTGTGCGTGTGGCGTGTAGTGTCTGTTGTGTGTGTACGTGTAGTGTGTGTGTGCTTGTAGTGTCTGTTGTGTGTGTGCGTGTAGTGTGTGTGGTGTGTGTGTAGTGTGTGTGTAGTGTAGTGTGTGTGTGTGCGTGTGGCGTGTAGTGTCTGTTGTGTGTGTGCGTGTAGTGTGTGTGGTGTGTGTGTAGTGTGTGGCGTGTGTGGCGTGTGTGCGTGTAGTGTGTGTGGTGTGTGTGGTGTGTAGTGTGTGTAGTGTCTGTGGTGTGTGTGCGTGTAGTACGTGTGGTGTGTGCGTGTAGTGTGTGGTGTGTGTGTAATGTTTGTAGCGTGTGTGGTGTGTGTGTAGTGTGTGCGCGTGTAGTGTGTGCGCGTGTAGTGTGTGTGGTGTGTTTGTGTAGTGTATGTGGCGGGTGTGTAGTGTGCGTGTAGTGTGTGTGGTGTGTGTGCGTGTGGTCTGTGTGGTGTGTGTGGCGTGTGTGTAGTGTGTGTGAGCGTGTAGTGTGTGCGTTTGTGCGTGTAGTGTGTGTGGTGTGTGTGTAGTGTGTGTGGCGTGTAGTGTGCGTGCGTGTAGTGTGTGTGGTGTGCGTGTAGTGTGTGTGGTGTGTGTGTGTAGTGTGTGTGGCGTGTAGTGTGCGTGCGTGTAGTGTGTGTGGTGTGCGTGTAGTGTGTGTGGTGTGTGTGCGTATAGTGTGTGTGGTGTGTGCGTGTAGTGTGTGTGGTGTGGGTGCTGTGTGTGGTGCGTGTGGTGTGTGCGTGTAGTGTGTGTGGTGTGTGCGTGTAGTGTGTGTAGCGTGTGGTGTGTGTGCGTGTAGTGTGTGTGCGTGTAGTGTGTGTGTAGTGTGTGTGCGTGTAGTGTGTGTGGTGTGTGGTGTGTGCGTGTCGTGTGTGTGGTGTGTGTGTGGTGTGTGTGTGCGTGGTGTGTGTGCGTGTCGCGTGTGTGGTGTGTGTGCGTGTAGTGTGTGTAGTGTGTGCGTATAGTGTGTGTGCATGTAGTGTGTGTGCGTGTAGTGTGCGTGTAGTGTGCGTGTAGTGAGCGTGTAGTGTGCACATGTAGTGAGTGTGTATGCAGCAGTCGTGCAGCGGTTAGGGCGCTGCGCTCCGAACCCGGCAGCTGGAGTTCGATTCCCGCTCACGGCCAACACCGGTGACGATTATCTAAACCGGTTGACTCAGCCTCAAATGAGTACCTGGTCCTGTGTGTAAAATCATCGCCAATGGGGAGACAAAGGCGGTCGGGCGTGGTGCTGGCCACCAACCTCATCGTTTTCCGTTCCGCCCTTCATAGGTGCTCAAACAGCACTTGCCCCAACAATTTGTTAAGGCTATACAGGGGATCGTTGTCTTTGTCGTAGTGTGTATACACCCAGTAGCGACGCAAGATATCCACAAACTCATACAAAGCTGCGAGTCTGTGAGAGGTGGGTGAGCGAGCGGGTGAGTGATAGGGTGGGTGAGTAGGTGGTTGAGATGCTATGGTGGATAGGTGTGTTAGTATGCGAGTGGGTGAGTGAGTAAGTGGGTGGGTGATTTGGTTGGCGAGGGGGTGGATAAGTGGGTGAGCGAGCGGGTGAGATGGTGGGTGAGTGAATGAGTGAGTGGGTTATGGCAGAGTGAATGGATGAGTGGGTAGGTGTGTGTGTGGGTGAGCGATTGAGTGGTGTAGTGAGTTGGTGAATGGATAAGTGAGTGGGTGGATGATTGCTTAGAGGTAGGTGAGCAAGTGGGTGAGTGGTTGAGTGAGGTGGTTCAGTCGGTGAGTGGGTGGGTAGGTGTGAGTGAGTGAGTGAGCTGGTGGATTGGAGATTCACCAGCTCACTCACTCAGACAAAGCACACGCGATGCACACAGCACACACGACAATGCGCATTACACGCAAGACGTGACACCGCACAGGCAGGCCCGGAGCGAGCGAGCGAGAGATACCATCAACCCGCCTCAGACACACAGAAAACAAAGTACAGTAAATTCTAGATTTGAAGCTTTCGTGACTGCAAGGATTCATATTCTTGGGTTTTTTCGGTAAAGTCACGTAGGTAAAAAAAGTTTAAATTTATAAAAGTAAAATAAAAATAAAATAAAAATCACGACGTTTCGGAGGCAACACAAGCCTCCGTCTTCAGGTGGAACCAAGCGTGCTGTGATGGTTCCACCTGAAGCCGGAGGCTTGTGTTGCCTCCGAAACGTCGTGATTTTTATTTTATTTTTATTTTACTTTCATTAATTTTAATTTCAATTTTTTACCTACGTGACTTTACCGAAAAACCCAAGAACAAAGCACAGTGCAACCCTCTCTGTGCGCGAGTTCAGGACTCGCATATCCGCCAGTGAACTAAATCTTTACCAATCCCCACCCCCACATTTGTGGCCCGCCGAACTCCAGTGTCCGCGAGCGTGTGTCATGCCAGACGACCGACACCGTGAGGAGGTGCGCGCAGAACGTTGTTACGTCTGAGACCGTCATCCACGAGGATGGGGCCCTCCCACGCTCAGCTCTCCACGTAGTCCTCGGCAGAGGTCGCAACCAGGTACCCAATACCCGTACCCTACCCAATACCCGGCTACCCGTACCCGGCCAGGTACGGGTATGGGTACCCGGCCAGGTACGGGTACGGGTACCCGTTTGCGACCCTGGTGCGGCCGGGTACGGGTACGGGTAGGCCGTGAGTCACTGGTGAGTAACCGTTTGTCACTCATTTCGGGTAGGGTACGGGTAGGGGTAAGGAACGGGTACCCGTACCCGGCCGGGTATGGGTACGGGTACCCGTTTGCGACCTTTGGTCCTCGGTCTCGCAGCAATCCCGCTCCGAACTCGCGACCGCGCACGTTTGCTTAAGACGTACTCGCAGTTGACTCAGTGATACATTTTGATCGAAACGAGTCGACTGCGAGGCCCATTCAAAAGAACGCGAAATGCGATCGGGGAAAGTGCTGCGGCTAGCGCCTCCCCCCCCCCCCCCCAGAGTGCTAGAATGAGAACAGCTGTGCGGCGTTGTCACCACACATCTGCCTCTCCCGAGGAGTCGTCCCCTCCGGAATTCCTCGGCATCAGCACCACCTACTCCATCGTTGTCAAATCATCATCGTCATCACCAAAGGTAATAAAAAATATCTATAATTCTGCATTATTCTTTGTAATTATTTCCCCCCGCCCCCCTCCCCTATGTTCACTCGAACCAGGAACGTAACCCCCCATTTCCCCCCCCCCCCCCCCGCACGAGGTTTCTGCATTCACGAATTCTGCAACCGCGAGTTTTAACCATTCAGATGTTTTAAAGACTCGTCTTGTGTTGCTGTGCCGTGCCCCCTCTATTCACACTACAGATGTTTTAAAATACTCGTCTTGTGCTACTGTGCCGTGCCCCCTTTATTCACACTACAGATGTTTTAAAGACTCGTCTCCCGGCGAACTGCACAGTCATCGTGAGCTGTGGTCACACACGAGGAAGAAAACGCGCGAGGACGTCGCATTGTGAAGACACGGCAGCCGTGGTGGCCACTCACTTGTAGCGGGGGATGGTGGAGAGGGGGTGGGGGAGAAGGGGGATGGAATGTTTACAGAGAGCGGCGTGGTGTGGGTGGAGGCTCCAGGTGCACGCGCGCACACCTGCACGGCTCGACAGGTGCGCGCACATCTCTACGGCAGTGCCGTACGGGCAGTGATGGGCGCGCCGCCAAGGCAGACGGGCAGAGATATGGACGGGAAGGCAGGCAGGCAGGCGAGGTTAAAGACAGGCAGGAAGAGAGGCAGGACAGGCAGGCAGGAGAAAAACGAGGCTCGGGGAACGTACGTCGTCCAGAAAGCGGTCCATCCACTCGATCTTACTCATGCCTTGCAGCAGCGTGTCGAACATGTCCATCTGGGGGGGCGGGGGGGGGGCAAGGACACAAGGCAGAGAGACAAATGTTCCCCCGTGTAGGCAAGCGGCGATAGCGAGCGCCCTACGAAGGCAGCCTCGGCGCAACGCGGGAGGGGGCGCGGCAAGCATCGTGCCCGGCCGCCTTTGTCTCCCCAGCAGCAGGGCTTGATTTCTCACGGAATACTTTCCAGGGCAATGTTTTCTGGAGTTCAGCCCCGGGGGCGGGTTTGCTCGGTTGGCAGCGCAGCGCACCAACCGCCTCGCCAACGCTCCGCGATCTGTTCGCGTACGGTTGGCTACGTACGGTAAGAAGCCGAGTTCGACATATGTACATGTACGCACGCACGAGGCCCTCGTGTCACTCCACTGCTGGATGAGGGCCTCCTCGCACTGCTGGCAGCTTGGTGTGGGGTTCTTTGGCCGAAAATTCCCCGCGCTGGTCGGCGCGGATGGTTGGTTTGTTTGGTTGGTTGAAGGCGGCGCGCACAGACGTGGAGGCGTCACGGTGCAGTACAACAACACCCGCCACGACGCGCCCCCCCCCCCGCCCCCCCGCCGCCGCAGATCACAACCAAACGGCGTGTAATCGTGGGCTGCCCAATCCGAGCGCGGCCCAGGCTCAACGCTTGCTTGGCTTGCGAGAGCCGCGACCAGGTGGAACTCACGGACAAAACGACACGGGAGACGCCGGCAGCCCCCCGCGGCCACGTTCGTCTGCTTGGGTTTGTTGTTTTTTAGCAGCTAGCTAGCAGCGACAGAGCCGCCCCCTGCTCCAAGCCGGTGGGGGCTGCACGCGGACGAGGGGCACCCCCGCTGGCAGCGGCCCCCATGTGGGGGGCAAGGGAGACTCGGCAAACCCCGGCCTCCGAGCGGGCGTTTCGGTCTGCCCGATCGCTGACCTCCGTGACGGCTCTCGAGTATAGCCCCAGGGGTTTCTGGGAGACTCAACCGGCACACGTGGGAGGGGGGGGGGCGACCGCGCCTACGCACCTCTGTGTAGAATCCATTTTTACGGAGCCAGGTCACGAAGGAGATGACCTTGCCGATGTGGGCGTCGTTGTCCAAAGAATACGTGACGAAAATCTTGCCTGTGGGTGAGAACGGCGTTGGGGGAAGAGGATGACAGGGGGGGGGGGGGGGGTAGCGGGAGAAGGAAGAGAGAAGGTTCCAGAGGAACGCGTGAAGATCGAAGACAGATCGTCACTTTCCGTTTGAATGCATCCAACCACAACGCGGTCCGGCTGCGGGCTCATACAAAATCCAGGGACGTGTTTTCATGAGCTTGGGGTAGCATAAGCGTGCGGTGAGCCCTGTTCATGAGAACGAATAATGAGGACGGGCACGAGAGTGAGAGCGGGTGGTGGCACGGAGCGAGAGGGGGGGAGAGGGGGTGGTGGCACGGAGTAACGCTCTCCGAGTGATAACACTCGCCGCGTGAATCCCAGGTGAACCAGGTGAGGAACCAAATGCAACGGTTGCTAGGGCACGCAGTGGCGAGATGTTAACTACCTCGCATGGTATACAGGAGATTGTGGATTCCATCCCAACCCTGACGCCTGAATATTTGGCGTTTGCATGTTCTCCCCGTGGTCCTGTGGATTTTTCTCCGGTTTTTCCCTCCACGTTAGAATCAACAGCACGCGTTTAGAGTATTCGGCTGCGATAAATTCTCACGTGATGATAAGCCACTTCGTTGAGCTATCATTTGTGGCCAGGTCGCTTCTATAGAAGATCTACACAGCTCAGTGAGTCTTACCTGATCTTAAAGGTGCATTGAAAAATTTGTATACTCTGACTGATGCTCCTGCTGTTTTGGAGTGACTCATGCAGCCAGCTATGGCTGCAGGGTTTGGTAGTACATGTTGTTTAGGTCGTTTATTGTGAAAATTCGGTCACAGTTCCTATGATCACTGTTACATTGCTTTTATGGCTTTATTTTGGTGATTTCGAAAAGTGTTTTGGTTTGGCCATGTTTGTTTGTTGGAGTACAGAGTTAGACTGATGGCCTTAATCTAAGTTGTCTTGTGGTTGTTGTTGTTTGACTTGCATCCCACTGGGATTTTTGCACACAGCGTTGGTGTACGGTGCTTTTTCTGCAATATTTTGCTGTCTTTCTTGGATTTTCTGTTTGCACACAGTCACATAGTGACTTTAAGATGTTTTCTTGTTCATGTTTTTGTTTGATGCGGTTGCACCCGATTCAAGAGCCGAATGGCTCACAGGGCTATACCAAATAAATGCAACTGAAAACCTACTACATAGCCTCGGTGGTAAAAACCTCCATGGTAAAATCAACATAAAATGGTTTAAATTTCGATTTAAAGCTTTCGTGACTGCAGGGATTCATCTTCTTGGTTCTTTCGGTAAAGTCACGTAGAAGGGAAATAATAAAATAATAAAAATAAAACATAGTAAAATAATTCTCACGACGTTTCGGCCACAACGCAAGCAGCCGTCCTCAGGTGAAGAACAGGTCTGTCGGAAAGACAGCGTCTGAATGAACACCACCAGGCTTGGAAGCGTATATTTAAGTTGGGTTGGAGGGGGAAGAGCGCCTTGACAGCAACTTCAGACGCTGTCTTTCCGACAGACCTGTTCTTCCCTTCTACGTGACTTTACCGAAAGAACCAAGAAGATAAAATGGTTTATCGGCGCAGGCGCTGGCGATGACGGTGATCAGGCAAGAGGGCTTGCCGAGGGGAACTCACGCTGTCGGTCTGGAAGGACGATGCTTTGCGTCCGGGCGCCGCCGGGAGAGCACGCCGGTCTGCGAAGAGCAAAAGCGCACGCAGATGCAGTTAACAACGTAGCCTCTTTAGCCCGTGGTGGAAAGTGCTGCTCAAGATGCAGTGGTGTGGCCAGCACCACGTCAACTTTGCCTCTTGCCAGTGCCGATGCGATATACACACCACACCGTGTACTAATTAAAGGCTGAGTCGACCTAGGGGAGGCGCAGGGCTGACTCACCGCTCCCAACACACACACACACACACAGTCCATGCGGCCCCACGTCATCGACTCAATGCAAGTGCTGTTCGCAAGGACCTATGAAGGCCGGCCAGAGGCCAGCAAGGCACATAAGTGGGTGATGTGGCCAGAACCACGCCCGGCCGCATTTATAGACACACAAAGACAAAGATCCCCCGTATAGCCTAATGACAGACTGTCAACAAACAGTCAACCGGGGAGACAAAGGCGGCCGGGCGTGGTGCTGGCCACCCACCACCGGCGTGTGCAGTGCCGGCCTTCATAGGTACTCGCTGACAGCACTTGCCCCAACAGTCTGTTAAGGCTACACGGGGAATCTTTATTTGTGTTAGAGATCGGTGGCGCAGTGGTTAGCACGCTGAGCGTCGGACCCGGCGACCCGAGTTCGCTTCCCGCTCACGGCCAACACCAGTGACGATTATCTGAATCGGTGTTATGAGTTGACCAACTGAGACTGTAGACAAAATACCCCCGTATAGCCTTAACAGACTGTTGGGGCAAGTGCTGTTAGCGAGCACCTACGAAGTCTGGCATGATACACGTGGGGGTGACGTGGCCAGCACCACACCTGGTCACCTTTGTCTCCCTAGTGGCAATGTTTGCACACCCCATAAGTTACTCATTTTCAGGCCGAATCGACTCAGGGGACCGTCCAGGAACCAGTACAGAAAATTGTCACTGGTTCTAGATTTGAAGCTTTCGTGACTGCAAGGATTCATACTCTTAGGTTTTTTCAGTAAAGTCACCCAAGCAGACGAAGTGAGCCACTTCAGCAATTGTTTCTTGCTGTGGTTGTCCCACCTGATGACGGACACTTGTGTTGTGCCCGAAACGTCGCGATTTCTTATTTTTATTTCTATTATTATTTCTATCATTTTATTATTAAATTTTTTACCCACGTGACTTTCCCGAAAAAACCTAAGAGTATTGTCACTGGTGTTGGCCGTGGGGGGGGAATCGAACCTCGGGTCTCTGCCACGTCACCGCTCCCCACATACACACGCACGCACGTATATAGACAGACACGCACAGACGCTAACAATACAAGCCGGGCGGTCGTGGTGGTGGTGGTGGTGGCTGGACACGTGGCTCGTAGTCCAAAATTACGGTGGCAAGCGCAGGTCGGTGTTCCCATACCGTGTCAACCCACGCGGTTCGCCCGTGCTCTTGTAGAGGGAGAAGTTTTCAGGTCCATGCGGCGTACGGCCGTTTCAATACGGGACAAATACATTGAAAAATACCGATTTGTTTGTGTTTCTCCCTTGTGATGGGACTTTGTAGGATGAACGTTGAGATTTCTAAGGGGCACGGGGTGACCAATAACGTCTGAATTAGTCTGTAATAATGTAGGGCACTGATAAGGGGTTGACAGGTTTGCGTATCGCTAAACTGTGGCTAAACTCCCTTGCCGTGGGTGCCCTACCTCGGCGCGGCACGGGGCAGTACAGCAAAGCGCGGACTAAACTCCATCTGTTCCTTCTTTTTTTGGGATACACGTGCTACAGTTTCCTCCCGCACGTCTAAACGCTCATTAAGATCGGCTCAAAACACCTCGCTACGTAGAGGACTGCGGACCTTGGGTAACCGCTGGTCGTGCCGGCATTACCGGCCGACCGGCTGCTGCCTTGACCCCGTGCGCCTGCGCTTCCCGGGCGAGCGCGAGCGACTCAACCCGCACCAACGACGACAACGACGCTACGAGGCGCACACGCGTGTCCCCCCCCCCCCCCCCCACCCTGACTATACTCACGGCGCGCCGGGCGAGAAGGCTTCTCCCTCCGCTGGGCCGTGGTGCCAGTTCCTCTCGGCGCACCCCCGCGTCGCCCACACCGCGCCGGCCTCCGTGTGCGACACCAGGGGGCCCGGCGGCTCCAGCCTCGACAGGCCGAGGCTGCTCTGCCGGCTGAATGACGCCCGCACGTCCGCCACGCCGAGCGGGCCGCCGCCGCCGTCGGAGGCCGCCGGCGGCGGGGGCGGCAGCGACACGCGCGAGCTACAAACGCCTCCTCCGTCGACGAGGATGCCCGGAGGCGCGTGCTGCGGCGAGGCCGGCTGCGAGTTGTGCGGCGACATGGGGATCTGCTGATGATTGTAATGGTCGGGATATTGCTGATGATGAAGATGGTGCTGCTGCTGCTGCTGATAAAGCTGTTGCTGCTGCTGCTGCTGTTGTTGTTGTTGTTGAAGTTGAACATGCTGCTGCATTCGGTGATCATAAAGCTGCTGGTCATCATAAAGCTGCTGCTGATACTGTTGCGGCTGCTGATACTGATTCTGCTGATACTGATTCTGCTGATTCTGCTGCTGATACTGATTCTGCTGATACTGCTGCTCCTGATGCTGCACGTGCTGATAAGCGGGCAAAAAGGCAGGCGGCCCGATGCAAGCGACGGGGCTCTCGCCCAATCCGCCGACGCCGTTCCGCGTGTCCTGGCAGTAGCGACGCAGCGACGTCTGCGACATCTGCCGCAGCTCCCGCTGCGCCAGGCACTGATCCGCCGGCGGCACGATCACCTCCATCGCCGCGTCGACGCAAGGCGCCGCCGCACCGTCGACGTCGCCGCGGTCGCCCTCCGGGCTCGGCGGCAAGTCTGGCGGCGATCGCGCCGGAACGCCGGCGCCGCGGGCCGGGGCCCCGCTCGCCACGGCGACGCCGGCGATGTTCGACGGTCGGCCCCCAAATTTGTTGATGTTGAGCTGTCCCAACAGCTGCTGGAAGTCGCCGTCGAAGTCGTAGCCGCTGCCGCCGTCGTCGTCGTCATCGGTCGGGGGCATGGACCGCGAGTCGTCCGACGGGTCGAGGTACTCTTGCGGCCGCCTGCCCCGGGCGATCATCAGCTGGGGGAAGTTGTTCCGGATTTGGCGAGGGACCGGCGCCGGCTCCCGCCTGCCGCTGCCGCCGCTGCGCCGGTCGACGTCGTCCAGGTGGAAGGGCAGCCCGGTGATGGACTCGCTGCTGCCGCCAGAGCTGGAGAAGCTTTCCTCCGAGGGGGTGTGAGGCTCCTGCGAGTCCGTCGAGCCGCTGCGCTGGAGGGGGGGAGGGGGGGGATACCAGCGGAGGACAAAGGTGAAGCCAAAGATCCCCCCCATCCCCTTGTCCCGCGTGTAGGCTGGACGGGCTGTTCGGGTAAGTGCAGTTCTGAGCACCTATGAAGGCTGGCACGGTGCACGTGGGTGGGTGTGGGTGGAAGGACGGACAGATGCCTTTGTCTCTCTAGTGAGAGTTATTTTTTCACACAGCATGGGATACTAATTTAAGGCCGGGTTGACCTAGAGGAGGCACGGGACCGGTGCAGACAATCACCAATGATGATAACCATGGCCGGGAATCGAAACTTTGGCGGCTGGGTTTATAGCAGTGTGCGCGAATTACGACACTACCGCATACATAGACTGTTGGGGAAAGTGCTGTCGGGGAACCTTCGTCCAGCAGTGGATGAACAAAGGGCTGTCCAGTATTATATTTTTATTATTTTCTAGATAAACTTGGACTCGCAATGCAGGGGTTGGCGTTTCGATGCGACCTCACGGCACGCGGCAGGCAAAACAATTTGGCAAGCTTCTCAAAGCCGCCCCTTTTCCAACGCCCCCCCCGCCTCTCTCCGCCCAGCAGCATTAATAGTACGCACGTGCGTTGAACTTCTTTCGCACCGTACGTTGCCAACCGCGCTGATCGGAGAGTTGGCAGCTCGCGTGCTGTGGGCTGCGGCGAAGCGTAGGAGTTTATGCCCTTTGACCTCACCCACCGGGCCTCCCACCCCGCGCTCGACGGCCTACTCAGCCGCAGACTTCTGACGAGATCGTCGACGGACAAAGGGCGTTCGGGGGCAGCTCAATGATAATTCATTACCGTAGATGATCATCTCACGGGTATCTTGATACATTTGCCCTAACCACCAGGCCCCTCCCCCCTCCGTGAACCCCCTCCCCCCACCCACACCACGCACAGAGCCCCTCGCTCCCCAACAGCGCACACCGATCTCTCGAACGATTTTGAAACGGGGATCGCACCACACGCCAGGATATTGCAAACGGCCTAGCGGGGTCATGGACCCTGGTTATCAGATCACCAAAGGGGGTGGGTAGTCGAGCGAGCGCATGCGTGTCTACTCAGCCAGCCGCCCCCGCCTTGTGCGCTGTACCGCAGGGGCGGGGTGGGCCAGCGCTTGCCTCTCAAGAAACTCTTGTTAAAGGCCGCAGGCACGATCTGTGTTTTTCGTTTGTTTTTATTGCAGCACCTGTTCCCACGTCTCCATGGGTGCCCTACACACTGCCTCTGCCCCTTGTTTACGCTCCTCACACCACCCAGTTGCCACGTGCGGCTCGGACGATTCGACGGAAGCCTTTTGTCCAAGGTGCGAAGGTTCATGGCTCCAACCCACACCGCTTCCCCCCCCAACACCCCACTCAGTAATGGATTATCCTCGTAGCAAAAGTAGCTAGATATGCGACAGGCCCCGCACTTTCAAGGGCCCCGCGCTAAATTCTTTCAAGCTATCAATTCCGGATTAGTGATTCTGCACTTGCTCTATTACTATAGTACTATACCGTCGTCAACTTTTATGAACGACCGGGTGTTTAAGCTTAGCGATTTGTCGTAACATATGGCTGTATAGCAAATAAAAAATACATATACATTACTATGCAAGTAAAAAATTTATTTTAATATTTATGCGTTTTTTTTTTTATTTAGGGCCCCTTTATAACATTATGCTACAGGCCCCACACTTGCTTAATCCGGCACTGCTCCCACCCCAGGGCCGTTGAGTAAAACTGGGAGGTGCAGAGATGAGCAGCGCGTGAATTATTTTGTCTGCGAGCGATTTGACATCTGCACCGATTAGCGCGGCTGGCTTACGTACAGTGCGAAAGAATGTCAACACTTCGAGACGCAATAGGGAGTGCATTGGAAAGTCGAAACTCGTATTTCAAGGAAGGCCACGTGAGTGGGTGATTTATTTAATACCCAAATCGATATTATCAAACGATCACAACTGATATTATTAATACATGGATACGTATCGATCTAATTTTGACCGATAAAACGCTAGCTCACCGATGGCTTTGGATTTTTCAACACCGACCGACAGTATCAATGTACACCGGACTCACCAAATCGGCGGCATTTCGCACTGCCAGACATTCACGGCGTGTTTCATTCCGAGGGGGGGGTGGGTAGAGAGAGAGGGAGGGGCACTAACCGGGAAGCCGCCACAGATGCCACTGTTCCGCGGCGAGGACTCGCAGGACGAGGAAGCCGAGTCCACCATGACGGACATTGCCACCACCGCCGAGCAGGTCTCGTCGCTCTCCACGGCCCGGCGTTGCGCCGGCCTCTCCTGGTCCTTCACCATGATGACGACGGCGGCGGCAGTGGCGGTGGCGGCCGCCGTCACCGCGGGAGGGGGCAGCTGTCTGCCCTTCTGCTCCTGCCGGGGGGCAGCCCTCTCTTCTTGTCAAGGGGACGGATGTCCGGCTGAAAACACAAAGACGAAATATTTATTATCCCCCTCCGTGTAGCCCCACACACGACGTTGGGCCAAGTGCTGCTAAGGGAGCACCTACGAAGCCCGGCGTGGCACAAGAGGTGGTGGGTAGCCAACACCACGGCGAGCCACCTTTGTATCCCCAATGCAGTTTGACGCACGGCACCAGTTGCTCATTTACAACCGAGCCAGCCCAGGGGAGTCTCAGGAACCGGTTCAAATATTCACCAATTGTCACTGGTATAAGGACAAGGATGCCCCATAAAGCCTGAACAGGTGCTGTTCTCGACCACAAACGGGCATGCAACGCAATGTTTTTCATGAGCGTGGACCCCTTCAGCTGCTTGGGCTCACCAAGCTTTTGCTCTGGTTACGGAGGCCTAGCGCCACCACTGATGGGGGGATTACAGCCATCACGATGCTGTGGGCCAAGTGAGGAAGGATGAGACAAAGGGTTGAAGTTGGGTCACATTTCCCCCCAAGGGCAAGAAGAGGCTTGAAACTTTGCCACGGCTTCGCGTCTTTCGCGTTTCTCCGCGTGGACGCGTGGGTCTTCGTTCCACCGCCCAACCCATACTTGCGGACAGGTGTGGTTTGTTTAATTTTTTTCAAAAACCGGAATTTTAAATCACAACACGAGAAACAGAATGTTCTTAGGAATATTATCGCCCGGGCGACCTATGCGCTTATCTAAGCACAGTGCATTTTTTTTGTAAGCCGGGTCAGGTGACACCCCAGTAAACGCGGAACGTTGGGCCAATCTTCGACTAACGTTGGTCCAACAATACTTCCAACTGTATGCTAACGTTTGCCCAACGTTAGCATGTTTACTTTGACAGTGATTCTGACTTTCTGAATCATGTCCTGACATAGTTTCAAGTGAAACGTTGTTGTATGCAGTGGGTAAATTTGGTTGTTCTCTCAATGTGCCAGCAAGCATGAACACAAATAATCCTATGAAAATATGAGAATAGATTTTACCCTTTCTGGCAATAGAACAGGAGGTATTAAGATGTTCAAACACCAAATAGAAACATTTTGCAAGGAATCGAGTTCGCATTAACCACACGCAGTACCTGTGATGAACATTCAAACAAATAATTGTCCCGCTGAAATGCTTGTACACCCGGCAATTTCATTTGTTTGGCTGCGTTGGGTGGTGCAGGATTTCGAATAACATGGATTTGGCCACAATCATCACGTAGCCTAACACAAACATCTATGACGAATGATAACACTGGCAGTGAAACACCGAGGTGTTAAGTTAACGCAGGTGTACATCGCTACCGATGCGATGGTGTGCAACACTCGACTTGAAATCATGAGACCGCCAGTCGCATTCGATTCCAACTCCTGGCAGCGGTTGAGACAACTGGACAAGTTTCTTAAAATGTCCATAGGACAACGGAGCGACGGTCATTTATTTTGGCAGGTGTTTTACGGCAGCGATTGCCCTAAAAGCTTGCCCCAGTAGCAAAAGATCAACGTGTCATCATGGCCGAAGCATTTGACAATACCACACCTCGCCAACGCCTTCCAATAAAGCAATTCTTAAGGCAGATTCAAGCCTACCTGACGCTTTAATCTGCCTTTAGTAATCAACAGATTATCCAGGGCCCCACTATCCTGGTGTGAAGGCCATTGGCCTGCCCAAGGCTTGAATATACTTTGAGTAATCAGAATACCCATTGTCCCACTTTCCTGTTGAGGATGCCATTGGCCTAACTGAGGCTTAATCTACTTTAGTAATCACGAGATTACGCAGAGTCTCACTGCCTCGGTGTGGATGCCACTGGCCTATTTCTAGATTTGAAGCTTTCGTGACTGCAAGGATTCATATTCTTAGGTTTTTTTGGTAAAGTCACGTAGGTAAAAAATTAAAATTAATAAAAGTAAAAGAAAAAAAATCACGACGTTTCGGAGGCAACACAAGCTTCCGTCTTCAGGTGGAACCGTCACAGCACGATTGCTGTATCAACTGGCCTACTTGAAGCTTTAATCTGCCTTCAGTAATCAACAGATTACCCACTGCCGTATTGTGGGTTGCCAACATATGACCAACGTACGCACCATCAACAGCATGCCAACACACTGTGCCGAAACACCTTCGCTATGCAAAACAAGAGTAAAACGAGCTGGTGTCCCCGAGCGGTTGACTCATTCCACTTGCTCACACACAACCACACCCCGCCTCCGCGTGTAGGAGATCCGAATTGCGATTCAGTCTTTGACCCCCGGGGCCCGCGAGGGCCAAGGCTGCCATGGGGACCACCCTTCACGCCCGGTGACGGAGAGACAAACTGTACCACCCCGCAGCGCCCACGGTCCAGCGGGCGGTGGACCGTGGGCATGTTTGGCTGAAGATAGATTTGAAGCTTTTGTGACTGCAAGGATTCATATTCTTCGGTTTTTTCGGTAAAGTCACGTAGGTAAAAAATTAAAATTTAAATTTATTAAAGTATAATAAAAATAAGCAAGCGTGCTGTGACGGTTGCACCTGCCTCCGAAACGTCGTGATTTTTATTTTATTTTACTTTAATTAATTTCAATTTTTTACCTACGTGACTTTACCGAGAAAAACCTAAGAATATTTGGCTGAAGAGTCATTTGCACGCGCTAAAAGAATGGACGAAAGCCACCGCGTGGCCCAAATGCCATCATTATCAATATGTACATCGGCCGCGCGTGTCCCCCAATAATGTTTCGTCGCGTGACAGTCGAACCGATGTGTTGAATGATGTCGGTTTTCACGGCGAGAGGTATGTACGTTTAACCTATTTTGCACTGGTACGTAGCCAACTGTGCTAATCGGAGGTACGGGGAAGGACAACAAGCTAAACACAAGAAGCTAGTTCTAAAAATAGAGTTTCTTTGCTCTTGAAAAGCTACTTCTTTTAGGATAGCTCTCCAAGGCAATCCCCAAAAAAGTATCTTTCAGTGGAACCGACGTTTTAAGTTGTCAGAGCTAAAACTTGGGCAGGTTAAGTTGAGAACCAAATTTGAATGTGCAGTTTTTGTTTTCTGTGCGGTCATTGGTGACTGGGTTAAAACGATGAGCTCACCAGCTGAGCGTTCCAACCTCCGAGGCAACTTGCCCATCGTGACAGCCCTGTTTAACCATATCTCAAGTCTATGTGTACGTCTGTGTATCTCTGACATACATACCAAGGCCGTAATTATAATATATATTGAGGGTGACACATCCCTCCCAATATTCAAATATGCTCAAAATGCCCCCCACCCCCCAAATATATTGCTATAAAATAGATTTCTGTTTTTTATATCATTGTGGCTATGGTTGTACTTTATTAATCTCTAATCTCTGCCATTGCATACAATGAAATAAGAAAAGGTAAATAAATAAAATAAAACAGCAATGTAATACAATACACTATTAGACATTATTGTATAAATAGTCCATCGTATGTGTTAGTGATTTTTTTTATATTTTAGGCAGGAAATGGCAGGAAATTTGTTTTCAAATTTAGATTTTTTTTCTAGGGGGGGACCCCAGACCCCCTGGAAGATTTGGTCCCCCCCAACGTTGACTCCATGGCTACGGCCTTGATACATACATGGGTCTCTAAATACATTTTGGAGTCTCTGTGTGAGTTAATCGTCTCTTCGTGAGTTTATAGGTCTCCATGCAAGTCCATGGGTCTATATGCGTGTCGATACATCTGAGTCTAAAGTTATCTACATAGACCAATTCCTTTTACAGACGTGGCATTTCCCATCATTCCTTTATACAGCTTCACCCGAGAAGGCCTACGTTAATCCAGCAAGCCATCCAGATTGGGCCCTTGCCTGTAACATCTGGCCGTGTGCCAGTATTACTTTAAGAAAGCCTGATGAGACACTGAATATCAAAACTAGTCCTTGCCCCTGTAAACAGAGAGCAGTCTGCCAGCATTGTTTTGATTTGACTGATGAGGCACTGCAATGCCATCCTACAATTATTTGAATCTGAATCGGAGCTGATTTTGGTTTACTCTGCAGGGTGGCCAGTGACTCTGTTGTCATCGGGAAAATAACTAATTCGTATTTTATGTTGTTTCTGCAGGCCCAAAATATATCTCGAGTAAGGAAGAGTGAGCCCAGATTAATTCTACTCGTAGGAAATCCGAGTCGGAGGGAGGTCGTTGTTGAATTTAACATACTGCATCCGAACGGCGAGCCAACAACACCGAGCTGTGTTTTTAAATCCTTTATATTAAGTTCGCTTGCTTGCTTACGACCGTGCAAATCTTTCGGTCGTTTTTTAACCCACTTCCCGTGATCCAATCGAGCTGACATTTTCCACACAGACTCGTTGTGCGTGACAATTAATGTTCGTGAAAAAAAATTCCCAAAATTTTACACTTTTTAGGACAAAAATATTATATTTAATTACCAATTGCTTAATGGTGCAATGCAATCATCTGACCCATAGGTGGCAGCCATCTCAAGCCAGAGGACGAGAGGAACTCTAGCCGCCACGCATATAAAGGATTTATAGTGAAAAACTTTGTTTTTACGGGTTATACTTGTTTTCCCTACGATTCCAGACTCATCGGTACACCGTGCATTTACGTTTGCGTTCACTTGAGCGCCTAAAGCTTTTGCTTCATTGGCTCAATACCACCAGCGCCTTCGCTGATGATGAAGGGAGGAAACCAAACCCATTTGACAAACTGTAGCTGCCGCAACTGGTGCAACGCGTTCATCCAGTTTGTTCCTGTCGCTTCTGAACGCAGCGGAGAGATTATGCTCCCAGAGACTACCACCCCCCCTCGCCGCCCCCGCCCCCCAGGGCAGACAAATCGTTTGGCACACCGTGGAATGCGTGGCACGCGCAGTGTGCTTCCGACTCACGGCGATGCCGAACGCCACTTTGCATGCGGCCAGGGTTACGGGAGCGGTGGCGCTGCGGTCGGTGCACTGCACATTGACCGAACCCACAACCCCACCCGCCCCAGGGCGACTTGGGAGCAGTGCCGGATTATCCTCGTAGCTACATATGTAGCTATATAGCTATATATGGAGCTATGTAGCCCCGCACTTTCAAGGGCCCCGCGCTAAATGCTTTCGAGCTATCAATTCGGGTTCGGTGATTCTGCACTTGCTCTATTACTATAGTACTATACTGCCTTCAACTTTTATGAACGACTGGGTGTTTAAGGTTAACGATTTGTCGTATTATCTGGCTGTATGGCAAATGAACAAAAAATACAATCACTTTACTATGCAAGTTAAAAATGAAGTGTTTAAATGTTCATGTGTTTTTTTTATTTAGTGCCCCTTTATAACATATGCGACAGGCCCCTCACTAGTTTCATCCAACACTGCTTGGGAGGTCACAGCCAGAAGCAAGCAGTAGCGCCAAAGAATTCGTTTGGGTGGGAATTCATCCTTCACGTCAGTGACCAGCGCGGTGAAGTATGGCCAAACATCCATCAGTAGATTGACAAAAGGTAGAGAACACCGTCATCCTGCGGTGTTTACTATTAACAATCAACAGAGGTTCGAATCCGGGTTAAACTACCCGGCCAATGTGATTTAACCGGATTCTCAAGTGCAGTGAGTTGCTGGTGGCAGCTTGTGCGCTTGTGATTTACATTGAGACGCATCGATTTAGACAAAGACCGAGATGCCTAAAGACCCACACAGACTTGAGTTTACACGTTGAGTGAATAGATGGCCTCGGCCCGGGTCACGGGTGACGAAGCAGAGAGAGTATTGCAAATTAATGAGACTTATAAGATCGATGTCGTCAGTGGCACTCACACAAACGTAAGTTGCGATTAAACCAGCTTCTCAAGTGTAGCGAGTTAATGATTTCAGCCCGGTCACAAGACTTGCGCAGAAACAATAATTAATTTTCTCAGAGTGCTTTCTTTGGCAATATCCCAGCTCGCAGAATAAAAAAAATATATATAAACATGGGGTTGATTGCCACGTGATGGACATTGTTTTGCAGGTAAATATTTATTCAGGTGTGCCTCCCGAGTTGTGGATACTGAGGCACAAGTGCAGTGATTTCACAAGACTGTGTGCAAGGCCACAATGGCAACGTTCATTGAACGTTGGACATCACCGCACGCCCTTCTCTGTCCACGTACAGCAGTTAAAAGGATCGGCTGATAGCTTGTGGTGGGGGGGAGGTAAAGTGTGGGCACTGCGACATCTCACTCCAAGACGTTTAGACAGCATGGAAGAGTAGGCCAAATAACCATCTGGGATGGGTTCCTCGAGACGAGAGCTCTCTCAGAATGATGGCCGGTACCTTCCGCCTGCCGTGGCTTTTGAACGCAATTGCAGGGCTGCGCCTATATCTTTTACATTGCCTAGCCCAAGCCATCTCATTATCTAACAATGAGGCAGTCATCGTGAGCTGTGGTCTACCCACTGCTGGATGAAGGACTCCCAACGCCGTGGCTACCTCTCACGGGGTGCTTGCGATGACACACAACCCAGCTCGCTCCTGCACTAGGGAGACAAAGGCGGCCGGGCAATAACAGTCGAGTATATTTAATAAGATATACGGTATAAAGGCAAAGATCCCCCCCGTGTAGCGTTAACAGACTGTTGGGGCAAGTGCTGTGGCCGCCCGGCCGCCTTTGTCTCCCCGGTGGTAATGTTCACACTGTGTACAAGACACAGATCTTGTACACAGAGGAAAAGATCCTCCCCGTATATCCCCAAACAGACTGTAGCAGCAAGTGATGTGAGCGAGTAGGCCGGCACGGCACACGAGGTGGTGGGTGATCAACACCACGCCCGGCCGCCTTTGTCTCCCCAGTGGCGACGTTGACTCCACACCACGGCTAAGGTCAACCGTGGGGAGGCCCAGGACCGGTTCAGATAGATCGTCACCGGTGTTGGTGGGCAGTGAGCGGGAATCGAACCCGGGGTTCGCCACTTTCGGAGCGCACACGAACACAGGACGCTGTGTCGACAAAGACAAAGATCCCCCGTGTAGCCTTAACGGAATGTTGGGGCAAGTGCTGTTAGCGAGCAGCACCTATGAAGGCCGACACGACAGACGAGTGGGGTGGGTGGCCAGCACCACGCGCCCGACCGCCTTTGTCTCCCCAGTGGCGATATTTACACACAGCACCAGGTACTCATTTGAGGCCCAAGACCGGTTCAGATAAATCGTCACTGGCGTTGGCCGCAGGCGGGAATCGAACCCGGGTCGCTAGGTTCGTAGCGCAGCACGCTACCACTACACTACCGCTCCCCACGCAGACACACACACAGAAAGAGGGGGGGGGGGTGTTCTGGAAAGTTGTTTACGACGAGCTGAAAGAACGGGGGGGGGGGGGGGGCTTAAAACATCGGGATGATAACTCCCGACTCGAGCGGACAAAGTTGACGAAAAATCTTGAAACTCGGTTTGAAGATAAATCTTCACTCCACTCGAAAGGAAACCCCGTCGGGCCGACGAACTTGGGGGGTCACGGCCCCCTTGGTTGCCCGTAAACATTGTTAGGGGGTGCGGGGGGGGTGGGGGGGATCAAACGAATGGGTCGAAAGAGCAACGGGTACCACCGCAGAGATGGAGCGATGGAATCATCGTGGTGGTGCGGGCGGCGGGGGGGGGCTCGATATTCGCAGGCGGCATTTCCCGTGGTGGACTTGTTGTTAACATCAACGACGACGCCACCGCCCCCCTACGTCGACTCAGCCTTAAACGACGACTCTATCTCGTGTGAAAAGTACAGTTATAGCATGGGGGAGGTGGGGGGGGAGAGACAAAGATGGTCGGATAGATCGTGGCCGGCGATGAACGTGATGAGTTTCCGCAGTGTCGACTTACCTGTCGCGAATCTCATCCGTGCCGTGCGCTCCCACCAACCAACCAGCCACCACCACCAACCTACACCTCCGTTTGCCCCGTCTCGTCGCGAAAACTCTGGCGAGAGAGAGAGAGACACACAGCGAGATGTCGACCTCCTCGGCGGGACTCCGACGATAAAGTCCGTCCCTCGCCACCCTTTGAGAAGAAGCCCTCTCTCTTGTGTCTCACCTGGACAAAGTAAAAAGCTGAGCCACACGCGCGCGCGGGTTGTCCGCTCGATTGGCAGAAGAAATAAAAAAGGCCCTTCCTTGACTGTGACCCGGTAACAAACGCGCAAAAAATGGCTTTGCTGGGTGGAGTCTGGGAGGTACAGAGGAGAAGGAGGAGAGAGAGAGGGGGGTGGTGGAGGTGTGGTATTGTTGAGCTGGGTGTATATGTCATAAAAGATTGACGGAGGGTGATAAGCCAGCGGGCAAACGAGGCTGAGTTGTTACCAACCGTGGTCACTCCGGCCAGACGCCCACGTTCTGAAAATAAACACGTGCTCTTATAGGTTTTTTCGGTAAAGTCACGTAGGTAAAAAAAATATATTATTTCTATTTTTTTTTAAATAATAATAATACAAATACTATTTCTATTTTTTTTTTACCTACGTGACTTTACCGAAACAACCTAAGAGTATGAATCCTTGTAGTCACGAAAGCTTCAAATCTAGAATTAACCCGCGGTGGCTAACCGACGTGAGTGAATTCCTGCCGGCTGGTGGTGTTCAGCGGCGAGTAATTCACCTGCAACTTTTATAAACAGCAACTGGTGGCGTCGTAAAAGACGTTTCAAAATGTAACCAGCAAAGCAAAAGGCCCTTTTGGACTTGTGCGTCAGTCAGCCGACTTGTTACTGGTAGGAACCTCCTGGTTACACCAGCCCACAGGGGATTATTGTGTCCGTCGTGCAGGGAGGGGCTCGGTGGGAAGGGAGGGTCTGGGTGGGGAGGCGAGGGTGGGGAGGGGCAGGATGGGGAGGGTGGGGAGGGGCTGGGTGGGGAGGGTGGGGAGGGGCTGGGTGGAGAGGGGCTGGGTGGGGAGGGTGAGGATAAGCTGGGTGGGGAGGGTGGGGAGGGGCTGGGTGGTGAGGGAGGGTCTGGGTGGGGAGGGGATGGTTGGGTTGGGCTGGGTGGGGAGGCGAGGGTGGGGAGGGGCTGGGTGGGGAGGGTGGGGAGGGGCTGGGTGGGGAGGGTGGGGCTGGGTGGAGGGTGGGAGGGGTGGGGCTGGGTGGGGAGGGGCTGGTCACCCCGTGGTGCCCTTATAAAACTCAACGTTTAACCTACTCACGCCGGCTTGTGCCCGCCCTCACAGTCGGGCATATTTGCGGAATACACCACGCCGCCGTTGACCCTGGCCATTGACCGAGCAACCCAACGTTCCTACCAGCTCCCTCCGCAGGAGTAATTTGTTAATAATACGATGTACAGGAGTGTGATTCTCATCAGGTCACCGTGGTGGAATCAAATGCAGTCTTCAACTCTTATCGTTCACTCTACATGTCATTCGTAAGGACCATTTGCCCGAAACGTCGCCTATTGTACATGTTCCTATTGATGAGGAGTATGGTGGGTTTTTAGATCTACAGTACTGTGTGTTGGACAAATGCAGCTCGGCTCAAAGGGTTCCTGTCGCGATAAGGTAACGACGGCGCCACCGCGTGGCGCTTTAGAATCAGAATCTTCATCTATCCTGGAGAAATCCGATGAGCTGCGAAGCCCTTTGTGACGTACGTCCAATAGGGGCGGGTCACAAAGTTACAGCGGCAAACAAAAACGATCGGAGTCGATTGGATGGTATTTACACTATGAGACATCTCCTTTAGCAGTGTCAAAATATAGTAATAGGTTTTTACCCTTTCAACTGGTACAAAACTGACACCTTTATACAAGGGATCATGTTTGCAATAACCACAACACAAGCAGTCAAAATGCAAACAAAAAGAAACAACTCTGATAATGATAATGATATGCATATCATTATCATTATTTTTTTCGATTTAAAGCTTTCGTGACTGCAGGGATTCATCTTCTTGGTTCTTTCGGTAAAGTCTCGTAGAATGGAAATAATAAAATAATAAAAATAAAACATCATAAAATAATTCTCACGACGTTTCGGTCACAACGCAAGCAGCCGTCCTCAGGTGAAGACTCTGTCTAATCGACAGACCTGTTCTTCACCTGAGGACGGCTGCTTGCGTTGTGGCCGAAACGTTGTGAGAATTACTTTATTATGTTTTATTTTTATTCATAATCAACGTTTTTCGGTTTAGATCGCGTTATTTATAAATGTGTCGTAACCCTCCACCACCCGACACGGCCAATCAGTAAAAAAGTGTCACGTTGACAAAAGACAAATAGTTCACTGCTTTAGCCCACCGGTGTGTTGAAGCCACAACATTTACAATTTGAGTATTATTTTATTATTTCCATTCTACGTGACTTTACCGAAATAACCAAGAAGATTATCATTATTGTATAAAGGTATCAGTTTTTGTACCAGCTGAAAGGGTCAAAACCTATTACTATCGATTGGATGTTGTCCATCAGCCGCGTTCAATCCACTGCTGGATGAAGGCCCCTCCGAGCCGTTGCTCCACCTCTGTTCGGGCAGTGACTGCAGTGCCCGACTCTGCACGCCAAGTGGCGACCCCACACAATGCAGCGAAATCCTCCGTGTTGTAAAGACGCGCCTTGCTTTCCGGAGCGTCTTAGGGGGCGTCCATAAATGACGTCACGCGATTTTGAACGATTTTTTACCCCCCCCCCCCCCCATCGTCACACGGCGTCACAAAAAGTCAGAACCCCCCTTCAAATATGACGTCACAAAGCTCTCCCCCCCCCCAAAAAAAAAATATATAAAACATGCTTCAAATCATCTTCTTGATTCTTTCGGTAAAGTCACGTAGAAGGGAAGTAATAAAATAATAAAAATAAAATAAAATGTTTTATTTTTAAAATAATAAAAATAAAATGTATTATTTTTATTATTTTATTACTTCCCTTCTACGTGACTTTACCGAAAGAACCAAGAAAATGAATCCCTGCAGTCACGAAAGCTTTAAATCGAAATTTATGCTTCAAATCGATTTAAACTATTGTCATTGTAGTGCGTATTTAATGTGGCGCTGCACTCTGATGTTGTAGGAGAAGACATTTATTAAAAAGTCTATTTAATTAAGTAGAACGTGTTGTCTATATTTATTTAAAGTTGCGCATTTTGATGTGACGTCACATTTCTCACCCCCCCCCCCCGCCTCGTCACACATCGTCACAAATGTCTAACCCCCCCCACCCCCCCTAAGTGCGTGACGTCATTTATGGACGCCCCCTTACGGAACATTCGAGAGAAGACGATGCGTGGCTTTGAGTCCCGTGCGGCACGGGTGTGTAACGCACGCGCGGTGAGCACGAGAGGGTCACGTGGCGTGCGGTCACGCCGCCGTGGGCACGCACGCGAAATCGTCTTCACGATACGATATTGACAATTTGACGATACGACGATTATCGCGATAAAATGTTCCCTTCGAAATGTTTGTTTCAATTTAACGGCGCGTTGTTAACTTGACGAGTCTCCTGATTTCACGGAATTCAGTCGGAATCACTCATTTGACGCGTAGGTTTTGTCGCAGCTAAATGTTAACCACATGAGACCGTGGGTTCGATCCCGACCCTGACGCCTGTATATAGGGGCCGTCCATAAATGACGTCACGCACCTAAGGGTCAGACATTTGTGACGATGTGTGACGCGGGGGGGGGGTGTTTGAGAAATGTGACGTCACATCAAAATGCGCAACTTTAAATAAATATAGAATTCATCTTCTTGGTTCTTTCGGTAAAGTCACGTAGAAGGAAAATAATAAAAATAAAACATAATATTATGTTTTAGAAGATGAATCCCTGCAGTCACGAAAGCTTTAAATCGAAAAATATAGAATTGTTTTAACAACACTCCTACAACATGAGTGCAGCGCCACATTAAATACGCACCACAATGACAATCGTTTAAAGGGATTTGAAGCATGTTTTATTTTTTAAATGGAAATATATTTTTGGGGGGGGGGCAGAGCGTTGTGACGTCATATTTGAGGGGGGGGTCTGACTTTTTGTGACGCCGTGTGACGAGGGGGGGGGGGGGTCAAAAATCGTCCAAAATCGCGTGACGTCATTTATGGACGGCCCCCAAGACGTCTGGTGTAGTAAGCCAAGTGGCACTCTGGAGGGGGCTCCCTAGAGCCCCCTTAAGCCAAGTGGCGCGTACACAAGCCCTTGCAGGGCTGCGCCTCTGCCTTCACCAAATGATTATAATTAAAGGTGGGCGCCTGTAGCTACAGGGACGCGACGATGATGATGATGATGCGGTGGGGGTGACGGTGTTATTGCCCCAGTGAAGGTGGAATTAAGATAAAAAATTACCTGGTTCATACCCCCCCCCCAACCCAATTAAACACTCCCGACCAATTACGCCGCTGCACAGCGAACGCATACTACACTTTAAGTGAAAATGTACATACTTAAGAGTCTGGAACGAACAGAACTTCCATGAACTGACGCCGTTGTTTTATGTTACGACTTGGCGCAAACATTGGCACGTTGTATATTAATGGGAGAGAGTCCTGTCCGTAAGCACATGATCCAGAAGAGCGGCCCTGGTGGGGTTTGTTTCATGAAGACGGTTGCTGAGCAAAGGGCCCAAAAAAAAACCGCCAAGCGTCCAGCAACAAACAGCACCGATTACAATGGAACGAGCTAAAATTTAGCGAAATTTAAATTGCGATTTAAAGCTTTCGTGACTGCAGGGATTCATCGTGAGAATTATTTTATTATGTTTTATTTATATTATTTTATTACTTCCCTTCTACGTGACTTTACCGAAAGAACCAAGAAGATTGAGCGAAATTATTGATTGTGAGAGCTCAGGGGGTGGGTGGCGTGGTAGAGACGACGACGATGATGATGACGACGATGCGAGAAGAGCTGTCGCGTAACGAGCGTGGGGGCAGGGGGTGCCTTGATCCCCAAATCTAAGAGTTGGGCCCCCCTTGATAAACAACCACCACAATCTTCTTGGTTCTTTCGGTAAAGTCACGTAGAAGGGAAGTAATAAAATAATATAAATAAAACATAATAAAATAATTCTCACGACGTTTCGGCCACAACGCAAGCAGCCGTCCTCAGGTGAAAACCACGGCTGATTGCGTTGTAGCCGAAACGTCGTGAGAATAATTTTATTATGTTTAATTTTAATTATTTTATTACTTCCCTTCTACGTGACTTTACCGAAATAACCAAGAAGATGAATCCCTGCAGTCA